ACAGTGACCTGAGGGACTGTCAAACATGCTTGGCCTAGCATGCGTGAGGCTCTGGGTTTGAGCTCCAGCTTGGGCTGGGGAAGGGGAGTTCTTTAAATGCCAGGTCTATGTATTGGTTTCCAGGCCAACTGAACTACAAAGGAAGGCCTTTCTCAAATTTTTTTTCTAATTTTTTTCAGCTTTTTAGTTCTATCACCTGAAATGTTAGCAAGTGAAACCTGCTTCAGGCTTACATGATAATGTAGCCTGCTGATTCTGTCTGCTGCATGTGCCTAAGAAGCAGAGAGATGCTGACCAAGTGGCACACGACTAGGCTCAGAGACCAGGAGACTGGATTTGAAGCCAGCCTGGATTATATATAATGAGAGTGAGACCCTGTCGCAAAAACAACAGAAAGTTAATCTAGACAAAAACAAACACAAGTTTGTTAACATTATTTTAAATTTTGATACGCAAAATAATTCTTTGGTAAACAACTTTAATCACAGCATTTGTAGTACTTGATAAACTGACAGGTATTAATATTAAAATACAGGACGTAGCAAGGGATTTGCTTTTCAGCTTTAGCGTACACCCTCTTCCCTGGCAGTCAAGAATGGCAAACAAAAAGATTTAACTTTAAAACACATTCCTTAAATGTTTGAATATCAATGTACTTTTGATTATTAAAATTTTTTATGTACAGATGTTTTTATGATTGTTACATCCTGATAAGTTTGTCATAAGTGGGAACTATTATAAATTATTAATGCATCTAATATGTCAGTCATGGCTTAGCAACATAGTACATCATCCAGTATCAGTTTGTGACCATGTGGCTGACTAGGAGCTTCAGCTTGCACTGCCTAGCATAGCAGGGAATGTGGTACCTACTTCACAGTCCAGGAAAACACTGAAATTAAATATAATTTTGCTGAATGTATCAGCATACAGAAGGGAAAAGAAAGTCCAAGTTAGGGGCTACATAGAACTTTTCTGTTTGGGGAATGTTGCTCAGAGGTACAAGGTTTACCTAGCATAGTATTGTGCATACTGAGGAAGTACTCTGCCCTTGAAATATATACATTCCTGGCCCCAGAGTCAGATTTTTATCTTTTTTATTATCTCTCCATATTTAATACAGCCCATGTGTACGACTTACATAAAATATGGGATCACAGCAAGAATAGCAAACAGTTCGTCCCAAACAGCATTTGCTCTTGTCTGGCACCCTCTGAACTTGGAACCACTGTGATATCAAGACAAGACTCTAGAACACCTATTGCTAACAGTGCTTCAAACCTCTAACAGAAGAGGGCAGTGACAAAAGTGGCCTTCGTGGCTGTTGTTTCAAGACAGAAACGGAAAGCCCCACACTAACTCTTCACATCTTGTCAGTGTCCTTCAATGCCAAGAAGCCAAGGTTTCTAGAAAATACTGGTCAAAAATCAAGAGACAGCCTTTGTTTTATGAGGCCTTGTAAAAGCAAAACCTTTATGGGTCTTGCCTTTTTTAAATATGTATACAATGATAAACCAGATAACATAATACAGTAATATTTCTGATGCAGATTTAATTTACCTTTATCCAACTTAAAAACAACTACCTATAAAATCCCAACTTTTATCAAACTTCTTCCCAAACATGTCCCCTGCTTTGCCATTATGAGAGCACTACTTCTAACTTCCAAATGTGCAAATGTGAAAATATCAAGAGCCATCTGGGTTTACAAAACAGTATCCACATGAGTACAGGATGAGACAGTACAGCACCCTCCCTTAGAAGACCAGCTTTGTGGTATCATACAGTCAAGATAAGACAGAAGGCTGACTGTGCATCTTCAGCAAAATTGTATTAGCAAACTAGTTTGTGATCATAATGGATCCTTTTGTAGCACAATTAAGTACAGGCAGTTAAAGTCCATTCTGGGGGAGGTGATAACGGTATGAATAGCATTTCTGCTCCAGAGCTTGCTGCAGGATTCTTCAACATGGCCTCAAAGAAGCCAAAAGAATTCCATGAGACACCTGAGATTGCATGAACACAGTAGTGCTCAGGACTCATAAGCCATCGTCTTTAACTGTAAAGGAAATGTATTTAAAACAGGCAGTCCCTGGTGTTAGGGGTGGTGGAGTCCATTTCACCCTTTCGGCGTGAACAAATCACTGGTGGCTTAGATGTACTGATGAACTTGAGGTGCTGCTTTAATGCTAAAGTGTGTGATTTACAGAAGTAGTAATGTGTGCTGTAGAAAATGCCATAAACTACCACCCCAAAATTATCTCTTAAAGTTGGGTGTCATTCCTGCAACTATCATAGGCAGTTACATTCTTTTAACATTTTAAAGTCTGTTGGCATTCTTTTTTTTTTTTTTTTGTAAATTTTGACTTGCTATCTAACTTACTTTCACTTAACTATGGCATATTGCTTGACCATACATAAGAAATTTCAATCAAACTCAAACACATTGAAGTCTTGTTAACACACAGCACATGCTTACTTTGCTGTGATCATGACAGAGAGCAAGCATTTTGGTCGTCAGGGCAAGACCTCATCTCTGCTTGGTTAACTTTAATTTAGATTTGTATTATGTTGTTTCTGTGAATTGCTCTACTCTTCACATTAAAATCCTGGTGTGTGTTAGAAGATTCTCAGCTTTGCAATAGTCTATACAAGTTGCAGTTGCTGGTGTTGATTCCTTTGTCCTCCCAATGCTTCCTGGAAATGTTCTTGCTGTTTTGACAGTTCTGGGACTATGTGATAGGGAAAGTGCCCTACTTTAACATTAAAAGAACAGTGCCAGAGGCCAAAATTCATCTTGGAATAGTGTGTAACAACTAACCCAGTATGCCACCTAATCACATTTTCTTTTCAAGGGCAAAGCAATTCATACTTCATCTAGTTTGTGCTGATTTCATAAAGCTGATTTTATAAAGCTCATGATTTTATAAAGCTGATTCCAGCCTGATCTACAGAGCGAGTTCCAGGACAGCCAGGGCTACTCAGAGAAACCCTGTCTTGAAAAATAAACAATAAAAAGGAAATATGGACAGAGACAGGAATTCCAGAAGAAAGACAATGTGAAGAGAATTGGGAGAAGACCCATGGACAAGCCAAGTATTGATGCCTGGAACCATCCATCTCCTAGCTCCCAGAGGGGGCTGTCCCTGCTACCACCTTCACTGGCCCTCTGGTCTTCAAAACTCTGAGGCATGAAGTCTGCTACTTAAGCCTTACCAGTTGTGGTAGTTATGGAAGAAAGCCCTAGCAAACAAGTACAATTACACGAAGAGAACTCACTCATAACTATTCCAGAAGACCAGTCATCAACTTGAAGGCCACTGACATAGTGCTCTAGTGTATTCTAAAAACTAGAGTTTAAGGAGTAGTGTTCTGGGTATCTTAGCAGGCCTCCCTAGATTTTTATACCAAAAGTATTAGGATATCAAAATCAGCCTACACACTACCTTGACTAGCATTTATTTCTCAAGCCTTTATTAGCTCTTTAAATCAACCAAGGAAAGCACTTCTTTCCTTTTTGTACAAATGCTTTATCAACACTAAAGAGTGAAGTGACTTCACTTCTACTTCAGAAACACCAGCAAAGCTAACTAAACCTGAGCTTGCTTTCCGGGCCTGACCTGATCTTTTGACTCTTGCCACTACTGTATTTTGGAATTATATTCACTTATGCATTAGACATACACTAGACCATTTTCTTTAGTAGTAAGTTACTTTGAGTATTTATTTCAGTGTTTATTCAGTTTCGCTTTGACTCAATTAGCCAGGAATATCATATGATCTTTAGTCATTAGGTCAGTATGGTAATAAATTAAAGAAATTCAATTATGCACTGTAGTTTCACTTGGCATTTTATTATATGTGGACTTTGAAATTCAGACTTGAAATTCTGTGTATCATTGTCAGCATCTCAGATATCAAAGTAAATGCAAAAATTCTCAATCATGTCAGTTCTCTTTAAAACCTGACATCTCATGAAGTAGGTGACTATCACCATCTTATTAAGCTCCATGAAACCTGCAGTTAAGTGAAGCAAGCAGTAATCAGAATTCAAACATGACTTCCTTATATCCTGTGCTTGTCATGTTAGCCCCAAAAGAAAACTGCACATTTAGTGTAAACCACTCAAGTGGACCTCATTAGACTTCTACCCTAGGCAGTGCAGGGACAATAGCAATGTTTAAAGACATTTCATTGTAACAACTGGGCTGGAGGTAAGGGCACTACTGACATCTACTGAGTAGGAGCCACTACCATTCCACAGTGCACAGGACAGTTGCCTACACATAACTATCCTGCCCAAAATGTTGACAATGTTAAGGCTGACAAAACTTAGTCAATATCCAAATTACTCCTTGACATTCTTACAGGAACTACAGCAGCCCCCTTTTCTTGAAATCAACATTTCAAGCCTATAAAATGTAGCTTTAAACCATAAGGCTTGTTCCTGTGACTTGAATGTGTATACTCTCCTGAAATTCTTACGTTGAACTCTCAGAGGCTAATGTGACAGAAAAGTTTGGAAAGTGAAAGTCATGAGGGCTCCACCCTCTTGATTGGAGTGAATGTCCTTGTGAAAAGGCATGAATGAACCCCTCTGTCCCATTCCATCTTGGGAAGACATGATAGAACAAGCCCTCCATACTTTCCTCGAGCTATGGCGTGGGTGTCCCAGCCTCCAGAACTTAGCAGTTTCTTTATAAAAGGCCCAATATAAAACAATCCTTTAATGCAGCGGAGAGACCAAAACATGTCTGTGTCAAATGTATTTATACACACTTTTGATTCATCTGCCATGGGATTATTTCCAAAATTATGGGATTCCAGAAACTTCATTTTGTATACTAGCAAACACATAAACTAGAATGGCTTATATGTGTGTTTAATCTATGATGATAAGCCTTTGTTCTTGTTCAAGGGATATGGGGATACAGGAAAGCATACTGAAGCTTTAGTAGATGTCTGTAAAAGCAAAATAAAGCCACACCACAAGGCAGAGGACTACTTTCTTGATTTTATTTCAAAAGTACACAAGGTCACAAAACTAAGAGCAAGTTGCTGTTTTTAAACAAAATTGTTTTTTACAAACTTTGGATATGTAAGCCAGAAATTTTTGTAAGACAAAATCCGAAAATGACACTACCCATACTGTACTTTGCAAATGTGGGGTGTCAAATTGTATTCTTAGTACAACTGTATTTATTGCCAAAAATTCACAATTAGGGACAAAAATAAGACAATCGGTGAATTGTGGTCCTCTTAACACAGGTGTCATTAAACAAATGAGCAGAAACCAGAGAGCTCAAGTTTGGCAAAGCCTTTGGTGTCTAATACCAAGGCCAGTTGATGGTGTCTGTATTCTAAACTACAAACTCTGACATATATTTTGTAAGCTTGATCAAATTCCAGAAGGTAAATGCTTGGGTCTTCCAAAAAGAGAAATAACCACAACTCACAAATTTATGTATTATTATCCCTTTCTGTAATATTTTCAAAAGGAGTCTTGCTCAAATATGTATTATTTTAGAGTCAAAGTAGACAGAGAACAAATTCTACTGCAGAACATGTTGCCTTTATTGCTGGAATATCCAGAGGCATTTGAAATACTAAAACTTGCCCAGAACATTTATACTACCAAACACAAGGATGTTATAAAGATATGTACACATATAATATATATAATGTCACAAACCACTTAAAATTGTGCCAGCATTTTTCTACACACTACTCTGCAAGTGACACATTTAAAGCATTCACCACATAAAATAAGGCAGCTCAGTGCACTCTAAACACTCACTGTTGAAACAGAACTCAGAAGAAAACGAAAACCTATGAACATTCACATAGCTTCAAATTTACATGCTGTGTACAGACAGTAGGTATTTAATAAGTCACACATTAAAGAATAGCCAACTCCATGCATTCAGTTCTTTCTAATCAGAAGTTTACTTGCCTCTTCACTTAAATTCTAAATTCCCAGGGCTCAATCTGAAATCCCTGAAGAATCTGAAGAATTCAGATTCAAACCTCAGTCTTTGCCATTCGAGGCAAAGCACTCTATCACTGAGTTCAAGCCCCAGGTGTTAGGTCTTTCAGTGTAGCTCAGGCTTGCTTTCAAACTGGCTACTGGCCTCAAATCCAAGATCTTCCTGCACCTCTAGAGTTCTGGGATCAAAGATACACGTACAATCACAGGCATTGCCATAGTCAATATGGATCTTTCCCCCTAACACACTCAGTCTGTGTTATTTATTATTCTAATTCTTGGCAGATAACTCAAACTGAAGGAAATGCTTGGCTATGGAACTGGTCAGGGACATCAAGACTTGTGAGCAGCAGGAAAGGCTTTCAAACAGGAAAACAGCAGAAAGATTATCAGTAACAATACTCAAATTTCTGTGTTCCAAGCACAGACTGTAATCCAGTGCCATTGCTCTCCAGATTGCCCCATGTAACATTAAAATATGGTTCTGAGTCTCTGCCGTCTAAAGTGGAATCAAAAAGGCCTGCTGTGAAGACAGTGCTGGCACTGACTTGCTGGTGCTCTAGTTTGAATGCATTAATTAAGATGTTGAACTCTTGATCACAAGTATTAAGTTGAGATACTTGCTCCCTGGTTCAGTTAAAATCGTCAGTGAGAATTGTTTGGAAAACTAACTGAAACTTACAAGGAGAATAACTGCACACCAAAGCCTAAAATTTAACTGTATCACTGATTCTGTATCTTATTGGCCTCTTTTTTTTCCCTTCAGTTTTTTATTGTTTTGTTTTTTAAATAAGCTTGTCTTTCAAATTTTAGTTGCTACAGATCTGGACCGAAATACTCAGATACTCTAGGTTTTCTTTGCCTTTAAATCTTTAAATAAATACAAAGTATAAGGAAAGGAAAAAAAATCACACACATCTATTTTCTATAGTAATTTCTACCTAGCATAATCTCCATTATGTAAAAATCATTAGAATTTACATTCTAATTTATTCTCAGATCTTATAAAAATGCCAAATATCTGACAGCCAAACGTGGCTATTGTTATAAATCAGAAACAATCAAAAGAGTACTGGGTATGTGATTTTTTTTAATCTTTATATAAACAATGGTATCACTTAAGTGACATCAAAAACAAAGCAGAGGAGAAGAGGCAAGGCTGAGACTGTAAAGGCGGAAAGGGGGTCACAGTGATGTGCTTTTGGAAATAGTACCTTCACCTCTAGCACCTTCTAGGTGATAGCCAGCTCATAGGCACCAGGAAGTCATAGTCGAAACTAAATTACCCAAAAAGGCACAGATGAAACGACACAAATATAAAAAGTAATTTCATGTGAGGTTAGAACCTACTTTACAAAATGCTTCCAAATATGTAAAACTGTACACTAATCCATTACATGGACATTCAGCTTAAACTCACCATTAAAAGGTATACACAATACTCTGCCTAATTGTAAATGCATGCAACATTAATTTTTAATGTAGCATTTACCAGCGCAGCACCTGAAGAGATTAACAGAAAACGATTCCCTGGGGGAAAGGTTTTAGAGTTAATGAAATCTTATATTACAGACTATATCTACTATAAAGAAACTGCTGGCTCATTATACTCTACACACACTCCCTCACAATCTTAAGGGAAATACAATAAATTCACTTTTCTCTACAAAAACTATATTTAATACATTTGGCAGATAGGAGTATTCCCTTTACTCCTTTTAAAATTTCTTTTAAGAGTAAGTCACTTTCACAAAATTAAGACTCAAACTTGATTTGTGAGAACTAATAGGCAGGTTTGGCCACAGGACAGCAAGCACATTGCCCAAGTCTGGAATTCAGGGCTGGTGGAAGATACTTAACTTGCCTCAAGTATATTTGTTCACTGAGTCTTGGAGAAAAATAACCTCCCAGAACTGTACTCCAGATAGTAAGCCTACGTTACATGTCTCTACAACATAAAATATGCAGTACAGTCTGCCACAAAACAAAAATACAAATTTAAAAATCAGTAATTAGAGAATTCTCATCTATAACTGCCAGATGATAAATTAACATTTTTTGTTGTCTTTTCTTTCGTTTTTTAATTGTAAAACATCACCTAAAGTGGAAGGCCAGTGTTCAGTTGTGGACTGACAAATCCTGTATCCTCAATCTGTCTGGTCAGTTTTGCAGACACCGGACATACTCAGGGTTTCATCTCTGTATGTGGGAGAAGCAAATGCTTCTGCCGAATCTTAAATGTGCTTCTTTTCTATAGCACATAAAAAGTTACTACTTCCTGTTGCCTCTGCAGTCTATCAGTTAAAAATACTTAAGAAACTGTTCTACAGCCAGGATAGTAATACAGACTTGTAATCCCAGCATTCAGGAAGCGGAAGCAGAAGGATCATGATTTGAGGCCAGCCTAGGCTACATACTAAGACCCTATGTCAAAACAAAACACAAAAAGGAAAGAAAGGAATCATTTCATGTTTACGAATGACTCAGAAATGAAACTAGTCATTTCTAAAACACTGTAGTGTCTCCTACTCTTAGAGTTCCCAAATACACTTAAAATTCTCAGAAAGATTATAAAAGAAATTCAAATGTTGACATTGTTCCATGGCTGTTTCTGAAATTTAGGGGATACTATTGTTCATAACGAAATAAGACTACAAAATACCATCTTTAGATGATTCAAATATCAATTTGACAAGTATGTAAATTCACAAATTTCTTCACCTATGACATCATATTCAAAGTGCCATTATTTCTTAAGCATTATTTATCCAGATGCCATTGAAATCAACTTAAGAAATCTCATCTTTTCCAGATGATAAATGCCATTACTATTAAGTCTTTACTGTTACACTATAATTAAAGAAAATCTGTGGAACGTGTTTCTTATACTTTCTTATTAACTTCGTGTGTGTGTGTTTATTGGGGCTGCTGTTAACAAAATTTAGACTAGAATAAGTTTTGATATATAAAGAGAAGAAACGACCCATGGGAAACAGAAGAGAGAGACGCCGAGTTCTATACTATAGACCCATCCTTGCTTTGTGCTGGAATCATCACAGGAACCGCCCCCATTCGACTTAGATTAGGGGCAGCTACCTTAGCAGGTGCCAGAGTCGGGCTCTGAGGAGCACGTTCAAAGTCTTCACTGGGGACTTGGTTATACTGAGTCTTGGAATACCCTTCCATGTTGGAAGGAGACATGGATCCCAAGGAGGAGTGGTTGCTGCCAATGTAGCTCCTGGCAGTGGATGTCCGACTCTTTGGAGGTGGCACATCTTCCCTGAAAAATAAAGTCCAACACATGCTATAAAGCTAGTTTCTAAAAGCCTACAATTATGTAAGCTAGGCATTAAGGGTAAGTCCAAAAAAAAAAAAAAAAAAAAAAAAAAAAAGACACAAAGAAAAAAAAAAAAAAAAAAGAAAAGAGCAAAAAAATGCCTCTTTCATAATGTGTGCCTGCCCCAACGTATTATCTTGGTCAAAGCACAAAAGTCAGTTAATGAACTATGGTTTTTGTATAAATGCATATGGTTTGGGTAATATCTAATGAGGAAGGAATCTCAGTTTCATATATGCTAGCATCAGTGATCATCTAGTTAGCCATTCCATTAACAGTAAATAAAGCACTGACAGATAGAATAGATTTTTATCCCCAGATGAAGAAAAGAATCCCTTTCTGCTGTAAAAGTTCTCTAAGACGTGAGCCAGAAATGACATATTTCTGTTTTCAAAACCTGAGAATTCCTACCTAAGAATTTTCATCAAGCACTGACATGATGATAAACTCCAAACACTTCAGGTGCATCTTTAAAAAATGAGTGCTCCAATCTCTGAGCTCCAGACCCAACAGCAATTTCTGGGTTGCTAATCTATTTAAGTCATATGTATTTTTTCTTAAAGTATAATTCTAGTACAAACCTACCAATTTAGAATATTTGAGAAAATAAGCTATGTGTGCGCCTGTGACTCCACCATTAGGTGACTGGAGCACAAGGGTTATGAGTTCAAGGTCAGCTTAAGCATCTTGGTGAGCCTGTCTCAAGAAAAACAACAGCACTGCATTACTGGTTTCACAAACTACCCCGTCACTTGTGACAATCAAGTCCCCTCACATGAAAGGTCAGGTATTCTTGAGACAACCATTTTGTGAGCTTCTCAAAATAGGAGAAGAAGATCTGAACGGTGGTCAGGTGGATGCACTTGAACATGGATGCTTGGAAATGATCTGAAGGGAGGAACCAAAGTTGGTACCCAGTTTTCATGCTCATTCGAGTGCTTCCAGAACTGATTTACAAACGTAAGTGTTTGTTGTATACCTGTCAAGTGGACTTTCACTTCTTTACCTGATATCATGATGGACTTCCTTTTCATACTTCTCTTCTCTGCGTTTTCTATGACAGCAAAAGAGGATGGCCCCGATGAACACGAGAGCCAGCAGCGTGCCTATGATGGCTCCCGCGATCGTTCCAGCTCTATTTGAAGCTAGAATATGATTTCAACAGAATTAGTAGGAAGAAGAAAACCCACAACACATGGCTTAGTACTGAAAATATGGCATACATACATAGGTTCATTTCATTGCATGTATTAACTTTTAGAAGGCAGATCAGCAAGGCTTTTGTCTAGCAAGAAAAATGTGTAAAAACATTTTTTTGAATGTTGCATCACCAAAATTGAAAAACTGATGCAATTTGAGTCAAAGTCATCTTGACTGACACATGAAAAATGTTGCAAGCTTCTTGTACTTTAATGGCTAAATAGTGTGCCAAAGCTGATTTGATGACTTTTAGCTACTAAAATGATGGTCTTATTGATAAAGTGTAGTGTCTTGTCTTCTGCACGCACTAAAAGTGTCAGTAAAAACCCACAGTGCTCTAATCAAGATGAGCACCCTTGCCTTTAATACACCCTTGCCTTTAATACACCCTTGCTGACTAAGCTAAATGAGGCTATGAGATTCTACCAGAAGCAAAGCAGATGAAAAAAGCCACTTACGAGGGACCACGTCCAGACGCAGCATACACTGATCAGAGCCCACTCTATTCTGGACTGTGCAACTGTATGTTCCAGAATACTCAGAACTGGCATTTTTCACAGATATAACAGGTGAAGTCATTTCTATGGAAGAAGAGGCGGGGAAGCAAATCTGTTTTACAGGCCGTATTACTCTCAGTATTAATAAAGCTAATGAACCTTATGGAAGTTTGACAAAGCAGTTAAGAGACAGACAATGTTGCTGCAAACAGACTACCAGAGGCAGAGGCACATGTCCAGATTCATACAGTCGGCCTGCAGGCCCGACAAGCAGGCTTACAGTTACCACGATCCCTGAGCCGCAGCCTCGGCTAAAGCAAGGTGCTTGGTCCACTCTGTAGCAGTTATATTATCGGATGCATGATTACATTTAGCCAAGTTGAGACTTTTTAGCTCACATCACTTCCCATATGTTTCTTGGTTTAAACCTATAGGTAAGTTAGCGTAACAGAGTAAGAAGCTGGGCAGAACCATGACCCCACTCTGATGCTTTTCTACTGAATTTTGGCCTTGAACATTTCTCAACGTGGAAACAAAAACAAAAAGACCAAAAACAATCTGCCACAGTAAATATTAGATTAGTAAATATCCTAATATTTATTCGAGGACAATTGGTAATGATTATAAAATACTAAATACCTTTCATGGTGATTTGGACCATTCTACACAGACCAAGGAATTTAAAATGTAATATATACATACAAACACTACTAGGTTTAAATCCAAATCAGCAGCCCAAGGGTACCATTCTGTCGGAAGCAGTACCTGCTAACCACGGAGTAGGCATTCTCTGGGTGTCTGACAGTTTCTGCCATTCATACCGCAATGGAAGTGAACCTTCCTTTGGTTCACATTTGAGTTTGAAGTCATTTCCAATTTCTTCTGATCCATCCACAAAACATCTCGTACCGGAAGGCTTAACTGAACAAGAAAGAAACAAATTACAGCTTTATCTAAAATAATGGGATTGGTTTTTCTAACAGATTACTTAAGCACAAAGTACGATGCATAGCCACTGCCTCCTTTATCAGCCACTGCTGGGCTTGGAATGGACAAGGGAACAAAGAATGACATGTTGTCAACACTAGTTTTCGCAGCTTTATCAAACACAAACAGTCACGAGCTCAGGCAAGCAGCCATAGCGTAAAGTTTGGCGCCATCTCAAATGCAGCTCAGCTCTGTGCATGGCCATTCCATAGGCACACATCAAAAAAGCAGGGGGGGGGGGGTGAGGCTGGGTGTGATGATGCTCCCGGAAGCTACCCTCCATTCCTTACCTAGTCTCTGTCCTTGAAATGCAGCCATCTGTGAGTATGTGCCAAGTCATATCTCTCTAGGTGTCGTTACTGGACAATCGACACTTATTAACAACGCTGATAACTGGGACAATCCACTTTAGTGCAGCACAGACCATTGAATTTAGGTATTTACATGAATTCAAATCCATTCAGACAGCAGAGTCACAAAAAGTAAATCGGAGGTTATCTTTCCGACCTCGGAGCAAAGGTTTAGAGCAACAACTAATCTCATTACCTGCAGCTTACCCCAGCTCTGGCCTAATATCCTGGTATTGCGCCATTCTGCAGCCCATTGAGGCATGGCATTTATGAAGTAAAATTGATATGTTAGTAAAATGGATTTAACAAATGTGTTTATATTGCACTGTTTCGTACTCTAGTAGGCAACTGATTTCAGAACCCTATAAGTATACAAATATGAGGATTTACAACTATTTTACATAAAATGACATAGTTTTTCTCTTAACCTACTATGGCTTAAGACTTCAAATTACCTAGACATTGTTTGTAATACTTACTACAATATAAATGATACTTAGTTGTTATAGTGCTTATGACTGGAGAAAAAAATCATTAAAAGTCTGTATACTCCATGTACGTAAATGTTTCCAAATATTTTTTGATCCATGGTCGGTTCAGCGTGAGGTATGAAACCCAGGGATACAAAAGGCTGACTGTAGACCTACTGAGCAGTAGGCATGGCAGCAGCCAGCTGGCTGACCGGTCAGATTTCTATCCTATTGCATAATCTCTCCTTCTGGAACCATGACTGTAGTGAAGAATGGTACGTACTGTGTGGTCTTTCATTCCATTACGTTTTTTTATGAGTAAACAATGCTGTGTGTATGCGAAATCATCTTTGGGAGATATGATTACTATGCCACTGTATCAGCACTTCCTGAGTGTGGCTGCCCAGTCAGCCACCGAGGAAACCCGGAGTCTGGGGACAGACAGGAGTAAGTGTGGAGTCTGAAAAATCAGAATGAACCGCCAGGGAAGTACTATATAACATGACTACATAAGAAGCAAAAACCTGTAAAGAATTTGGGGGTATTCTTAGAAAAGCAGACATGGGCTCTTGGGCAGGGAGTGGGAACTGTCAGGAGGGAGGGGTCCTAGTGAGGGGGTGGTGCACGATCAGTCTGGGAGCAGTACTAGCTAAACAGTAAGGCATTCTTTTCCATTTGTTCTAAGACCTTGGGAAACTCCACGTTTGGCATGAAGTCTGTGGTTGGCTTTATCATCTGGCTTGCCAGGCTGATAAGTACCAGGGCTGGTGACTGACCCCCAGTCTAAATCAATTCTCATGCTTCCAGTCTTACGTGACATTTCCTCGTTTACCATTATGAATAAAAGTGGGTACTGGAACACTCACACACACACACACACACACACACACACACACACAAACTTACAGGCCATTCCTGCTGCTTTCATCAGTGTGCTTAGCCACATTGCCATCACGGCTATTCCCCCCACAGAAAGCATGCCTGTCCACAGTTACTCTGAGAATAGCTACGCAAATCCTATTGCTTCCCAATGTACCCTGTCCCAAATTTTGATAGCCAACCATCAATCCCACTGTGAATAATATGCACACCAGCGTGAAATGCTCTACAATGTATCTGAACTCAGTATTTCAGGATAGTGCTGAAAGAAGGGATACACAGAGTCACCCGTCATCTGCATCAGAATATGAGAAAGAGTTCAGAGTTCTGCTTTAAAGGAACCATTACCAGCGTAGCCATTTACAAACATAAAGGTCAGTCCATGCTTACATGATATAGACATAGCATTTCAACAATACCCCCTTCCCTTCTCTGGAACCGTATTCAGTCTCACTTTCACACAGAAAATACTTTTAACTAGAGCCATTTTAAGACGGTGTGTCTTTACGATCAGGACCCCCTGGTTGCTAAGCCAATGAGGAGGCCAGCAACTAAGACAACCTCAGCAGCTGCCATTAGGATGCTATTACAGCTCCCAGTCCCCGACTGCTCACACAGGCATGCTGTAGCAGAGGCCTTGGCTGGGAACCCTTACTGCTCCTACCCTAAACTAAAGCCAAGTCGTAGAGTTTGACAAGAGTTAAATCTCTGATTTAATGTATCCCCAAGACTATCTTAAGTAATTCTCACCATCTGCATTTCCTACAAAAAAAGGATCTCCCTGAACCTAGGACTTTGAGTCCCAAGGCAGGAAAATTACTACCGTAAAACAGCTGATTGCAGTGTTGTACTTCAAGGAAATCAGCCGCACTGCATATACAGCCTACCACAAGGAAGTTGTAGAGATTATAGCCTTTAGAGTTATAGCCTTTCAGAGCCTCCTAAACTGAAGACACACCGTTTCGGATTCTCAAGGTGAATGAACAGCCTCTGCAGTCTTTGACAGCTTACTACGAAGCTGACACTTACTAAGAAGTGGCTAATCAAAGAGAGTAACGAGGCATCCCAGCAACTGATCCCCTCCGCGGACAGAAACAGTGACAGCAAGGAGGAAAATAATGCCTCAGTCCTTATCCCAATTCTTTCTAGCACAGTCTATCTCCTCCAATTGAAACACTCCAGGGATTTGGGGCTGGATGGATGGCTCAGTACTTATTAAAGCTCTTGCAGAGGACCCAAGTTCAATTCGCAGCACCCACATCTGATAGTTCCTAACTGCATTTGAATCCAACTCCACGGGCATCTGATGCCTCTGGCCTATATAGGCACTGGTACACACAGACACCCACGTACACATAATTCAAAATAAAACAAATCTTTAAAAGTATAGATAAATAAATACTCTCAGTAATCAATCATAGAAAATCTCATTTATCCTTCGAAGCTAATCAACCAGAATAACTTGATTTCACGGTAATTGACCTAGTATCATTGGAACTACTACATCAATCCCTTCACAAGAATGGAGGCTCCTTAACAGAATTATCTAAAATATCTACCCACTTCCTAAGCCTCAATGAGTTTTGGTCGCAACACACTCAAACCATAGCCGAGTTCTTCTTCCATTACCTACGACCCTTTCACTCAATCACTTCACAAGTGCGCAGTCCTCTTCCTTTCTCCATTCAGAGAAATATAAGGACTAACTCTACTTTTCGCTGCCTGGGGACATCATGTTGTCATGAAACCAGTTTTGTCTTCCGCGAATGCTGGTAGTACAGGCTGTCGCCACTTTCCCTGGACCCATGTGGCCCCCATCGACACAAGGAATGGTAACTTACCAAGGACAGTCAGCAGAACTTTCTTATTTGCAACCCCAGGAGCTTTCTTCACTTTGCACTGATACGTGCCAATATCGGACAACTGCAGATTCGTGACATTTATAGACGCATCACCAGACGTGACGTCGTTACTCGTGAAATGCACTCGTCCCTTCAGATCCGGGTAGTAGTTATCATAAATCTTGTCTCCAGAATACAAAATGATCTAAAACGAAAGCAAAAGCAAACAAAGAGATAACAAAAGGCCAAAGCTACTTCATTTCATAACTGTCCGCATTTCTCAGTAAGACCCCCTCTTCCTGTTCTGAGACTCAAGGGCAAAGAGTGGACCCAGACCCAAACAGCAGGGCCACAGTCGGGACCTCTACAGGTGACTTTCTTATCTGAGCAGGATGGGGAAATGACACACAAGGATATCTTGCTTTCTCCCAACGTTAATGCAAAAAAGCAAAACCAGAAAACTGCTGGATTCTGAAACACCAGCTATCTAATACACAAGATAAGAAAGCCAAGAGATCAAATGGAACTGAGCTGTGGCTTGTGCTCCAGTTCAAACAGGTAAACCAACGTGGAATAGGATTGCATAATGTGCCCTATACTAGCCAGAAACAAACAAAAACCCCACCCGCACACACAACCATAATCGACACAAACTTCTTGTCTGGGATGTTGATTTTGTACTGTACAGCTGGAAAACATCTCCCAAGGATATAGTTTTGCTGAGTTTTTCTGTATCTGCCTCTTCTAGCATATCCACCCCCAACCCAACCTGAGCCCTCAGAAACACTTGCGTGTGCGTGTCAACTGCCCATCACCAGATCACGGTCAAGACCAGTTTGCTGAGTAAATGCGCAGAGCAGCTGAAGGAGCCAGCACGGGGCCTAAGCGCACTAGCCGTTACCTTGCTCCTTAATCCTGCCACACTCACTCGTCAACACCAATCAGCATTCATGTGTTCACAAACAAGACACTCCGGCTTCCTGTCTATTAAACTTTTCACTCACGTTATGAAAAGCAACAAAGTTCAAACAACTCTCCTTCCAAAGCACATTTTGACATGCACATCTCATTGGTGTCTTAAGAAGCACCAGACAGGTAAGATGTGTCCCCACGGTGAGTGACATACACCAATTTAGTGCTTTCTTGTGACGACTGGATTAAAAAATGGGACAGCTAGCATTTACCAGGCGACTTTACATGTCTTCACTGATTTCTGCCAGTGTGGCAAGGATGCTGGGATTGTCCCCTTGTAACATCTATACTAAGACAGTACCGGCTCTTGTCATAAATTTATGTCACCCAGCTAAGCTACGAGCTGGACCTGTTTTCACTGGGCACCGCATGTAACCAATGTTTCTATATTCCTTCCAAGCTCATGAAATACTTAAGTATGCAGCATGTCATTACATTCTAAGAGATGGCTAGGACATGTGTCCCTACCGAACACACAAGGAACCGGGTTTACGGAACATGGGAGGAGACAGGAAGGACAACACAAAGGATAACAAAAGCGCAAGTGTGCAACCCGCAGATGTCTGTGCTCAAATTCCAGCTGCTAGCTGGATGACACTGGGCGTGTCCTTCGCCTCTCCGAGCCTGTTTCCTAGCTTTCATAAGCACAACCATGTGCATCCTACAGAGTCATCTTAAGGCTTAAATACGTATGTATAGTCCCGTGCTGCGTACAGAGGGTTTTGTCAACCCCGAAGGGTGTATATACAACAGCAGGGCCATCAGACTACTTCATAGCCATCTTGTGTCTGTGCGGGTGCATTCCATGGTGTTCAAATGACTGTAAAAATCTTATGTAAAAGCACACCAACACTGACCAGGGTGTGGTACACAGTAAAGCATCACACAGGGACAAGACTAGACATTTCTCCAGCCCAGCCTTCCAACTCCAGCTCCTTAGGTACTACCTGCCAAGCTAACTCGAATCCAACAGGAATTCAGCTAACATAGCCTAGCTAGAATTCTGTGAAGCACCCTCTTCAGAGATCTCTCTTTACCTGCTATCTTCCTCTTCATCCGCTCTTACTTACTAAATCTGAGGCCAGGTTTCAAACCCAGAAATGCCCGCTCCAGACCAAGTGCCCCACCGTGTCATGCCCATTTCACAATTTTGTGCTCTGTCATTAGCTAGAGAGATTTGGGACCCTCCTTCCATGAACCAAGCGTGGGCACACTGTGCCTGTTGGTGTCTAAAGACACCTCCTCACAGACCTCACCTTCTCCTGTAACTCAGGACTGAAGACACACACTCTCCTGGGTTAACCCCAGATTCAGAATCCCGAGCAGGTCTAGGAAAGGCAATGCTGGGCCTTCATTAGAAATGGGTGTTCAGAGGGCAGACATCTTCACAGAGAGAAGGGGCAGAGGGGAAAGTGAGAGCGGCGAGGGCCACAGGGTATCAGGGATGATGAGAGAAAAGGAAACAACTCTGTTGCTGGGGTTCTTTTTGCGTAGGAAACAGATGGTTCTGGTCACTGAATCAGGAGAAGCTAATCCGTAGCCCTTGTTACTGAAAACTACAGAAGCTTCTTTATCTCCTTCACAAATGTCTGGACTTAGTCAAAAATACTAATTTCTGTATTAATTCAATCACTAAATGGAAGAAACAGTAAGTAAAACTGCAAGTCTTTTGAAAGGGTCACGTTATGTGGTGCAGCCTGCCTTCTGCCACAGCCTCCTGAGTGGGGATGGCGGGCAGGCACTACCGTGCTCAGCTCTTACAAAGACTTGGATCACTAAACCCCATGAAATCTTGAACTTACTTTTTAACCTCTGGCCTGAACTAAGCGTGTAAGCAAGTGTGTTATAGGGTTTTATGTTGTCGGCCCCCACCCTCACCCCTTCTGATCATTCTGTGTGCCAGGCAAAGGGCTCTTGGGAAAGGAACCTATCACCAAGAATGAGAACCTGAGTTCCACCCCTGGGGTCCACATGGTGGAAGGAAAGAATCGGCCTCCAAAAGTTGCCTCTAACCCCCAATGGCTCGCATATGGCATTCACATGTGCACAGGCCACAAGTAAATAAAAGGTAAAACAAATAAACAAAGATTTCATTCCCTTCCCAAGCAATTCACTATACAGGGCATTTAATTTGAGGAAATATGGAAAACAGGCTCTAGTGATAACACTCTACATCTTCCTTACAGTATATTATATCGTATATCTTCTTCAACAAAATGGATTTACTCATAGTCCCTGACACTGTGTATGCTCCCTGCCTGCCTGCCCCTGGTTCCCTGTATCCTCTGCTCTGGCCCCTCATATGTATATCCAGACCTTCAGGAGCTTCCATGGGTCCCGGAAGTAGCCTTTCATTACTTCATCCATTGCATTCACAGTATCTCCTGGCTGTGTTAACACACAGCATGAGTGTGTCCCTCATTCCTACCACACCTGAGCAGCTAGCTGGGTGCTTTCTCCCCCCTCCCCCGCCAGGCTATGTGAAGACACACCCAACATCCCCACTGACATGAGCAGTGATCAGCACAGATCCAACTCACCACTTGATCCACCTTCTGGTTATCAGAGGGGGATATCAGCCATTCGATGTCCAGGGGTCCCTGGTCATCAGGATCAAGTGTAAACTTGCAGGGTAGATAAGCAGTTTCCCCTTTAGCTTTGTCGATACTCTGTTCAGGAGTAGTGATACTCAAACCTCTGGTGACATCTGCAGAAAGAAACACATACGTGGGACAAAGCTTCTGCAATTACCCTGACTCATGACCCTGTGGCCATTCATGGGAGCACAGGGATCTGAGGTTTGAGCTCAAAGCAACAGAATTTAGGGTATGCGATGCCTTTGTAATGAGCCCATTGATACTAAGACATCCATACAATAACTTTTTTTCAGCAAAATAACTTTATTTCCTAACACAGTAAACATATACATCCAGTATGTGGTGCTTCCATGACAACGGCTTTGAGAGTTAACATGTGTAAAAGCTGTCTTGGTTTAGATGTGAAGTGTCTGGATGGCTAACTTTCTGAACATATTGGACTGGCCACAGCAGAATCTGCTTCATTAGGTAAGTTGCAGAAATTTAAAACCTTGAAACATTACTACACTTTTGCATCTAATGCTTCCAGGTGAACAGGATGCTGCAGGATCACTTGGATTCCAGGCATCTCATCAGTTTTTCTGGTGAAGGAACCATTCATCCACATCTGTCGGTAGTGGGTAGGCAGATTCACATGGTGGTGGCAAAAGCAGCCACAATGGCTTTGGCAGCATCAGGATCACACTTGATAGGGCTCTCCGACACGGTTGTGTTCACGCAACTGATTCCTTTCCCGTCTGTTTTCTTAGTCACTGATGCTTTCCAATAATCGTGAGTGCCTTTAATAATGTCAATTGCAAAATTCTTGTCTTTAAATTCTGCATTGAACCCAAACTCATTTTCTGGTTTTCCATCTTCTAAACCAGCCTTCTAAACCAGCCATCAGTGGCTTCTAAGTCGCCAGGTTTTTATTTTGACATCAGAAATATCGTTATAATTGGCCACATCTGGATCATCCACGTTAATGGCGATGACTTTCCAGTTGGTTTCGCCTTCATCGAGCATAGCGAATATGCCCAGAACTTTCACCTTGATGATCTTACCTCTTGTACACACCTTGCTTCCGATTTCACAAACATCAATTGGGTCATTGTCACTACAACAGCCAGTGCTTGTCACTGTACCCTGGGTCTTCCCATGTCCGAGGGATGGCACCATAGTTCCAGATGTATCCTTTGTAAGGGAACAGATTGACAACATAGTGGAGCTTTCTTTTCTTCATGTCTTGCTTAATTGGATTAAGGGGTAGCAATCTCCATTTTAGCATTTAACTAGTGTGGAACCTCAACTAGTCAACTAGTGTGGAATACATCCTTTCCTGCATAAATCGGATTATCATGAAATGGAGAAAATACTGTCCTTTCTCATTTTTTAGGAAGATGGCGGTACTCAAAAGAGTGAAGGGCACGGCATGCTCCTCGCTGCTGAAGCCACTCGTGGTGTCTGAGACTCACCAAATCGCTCCCATACAATGACTTTTAAGAGCACTGGGAACTTCCCAGAGGCAAAGAAAATGAGTTTGCATTGCTTGTGCGCAGAAGCTTTGATCTCATAGCCCTGTCTCGGCAGGCCAACTATTGCTATTATAAAAGTACACCGCCAAGCCCAACTGTAAAACTAGTTTTCTAGAGTTGACAATGCAGCTACCTAGCACATGCAAAGCCCTATGCTGAATTCTTGTTGTTGTTGTTGTTGTTGATGTTTGTAGCACTGAGCATGTGGTGCACATTGTTAAATGCAGCACTAGGGAGGCAGAAGCAGGAGAATCAAAAGTGAGAGGCCAGCTTGAAATACATAACAAGACCCTGGCTGAGAAACCGAAACAGGAAAAAAAAAAAAAAAAAAGATTTGCCATCAAATGTGGTAGCACATTCCTGAAACCCAGCATGAGGGAAGCAGACAGGAGCACAGAGTTTGAGCACATACCCAAAGGCACAGCAAGACCATTTGTCAAAACAACAGTCAGAGAGAATACACCACCACATTGGGAGAGCACTTGCCTAGCATTAAAAAGGTTCTGTGGGTTCGATCCCCAGCACCATAAAAAGAGAGCTAAAAAGAGAGAGAGCACAAGCAAACAAGCAAGCCAGTCTAGCCATAGTAGAGTATGCCTTTAATCCCAGCACCTAGGAGGCAGAGGCAGGTGGATCTCTGTGACTCTGAGGCCAGCCTGGTCTTACAGAATGAATTCCAGCACAGTCAGAACCGATACACAGAGAAACCCTGTCTCAAACAAACAAAAGAAATGAAAAGCTAAAGTTGGTGCTCAGATCAAGAACAAAGGTATGAAGAGTCTGATCGTTAGCTTGATTTGTAGCACAAATTCAATTGTAATATAAAGGAATCATCTTTTAAGATCATTTATAACACAAAAGTTTCCGCAGAACTTGACACATCTACTGGTTTCTCTGTGACCAGCTTTTGTTTTCTTTTGTTATTCTGAAACAGAGTCTCACTCATTAAGCCAACCTGGCCTGGAACTCACTTTGAACTCTAGACAATTCTCTTACCTCAGTGTCCCCAGTGTGAGTATTTTACAGGCACGAGCCTCCACCCCCTAAACATTAACTCAACCATCTCCATTGCTCAGGACACTTAGCTTCACCGTTTTGGGTTAAGAAGCAGCCTTACCCCTTGAATTCCTGCACTTCCCAACCCGGATGTTCGGTGTTGGATGAGATTATGAATGGTACCCAGGGCCTGACTCTCCCCACCTCCATCCTCTCTGCTCTTCTTCCTCCTCTCTTCATCTTGCACCTATGATTAATACACTGAGCAAAATTAGAAGTAAATCAATCCCAAGCCCTCACTCTGCACAGCAACTATTCCATGATGTTTCTCCAATCACAGATGGTATTATCTTTTCTATTAGATGAGAATTAATGTGCTATCAGAAATAATATTATGTTGGTAGAGTTGAAGCCCAAAGAATAAGAACTAAAAGTTCCTTTCCTAAGCTTGTAACAATATCTAAGGACATTCCTCAAACTGAATAAAGAATGGGTGCAGAACCTCTGCATTCCTCTCTGAAATCAGACCAGTGAAGAGTAACAAGAATGTGCCGGGTAAAATCCAGGGCGAGGCCTCCAGATTCCTTGCTAAATCCATTCTCCCCTTCTTGAGAACTCTTACCATTGTGCAAACAATCCACATGGGAAATAACTGAGGTGGGTGACCAGCAGCCATTACTCCCCAAGATGCAACCCCATCACCCCACCCGCAACCCCTATCTAGATCGGCTTCTGTAGTGTCCTCAGTGAGCCCACAGCCTCCTTTCTCAAGCAAGCCTACCCCGACCAACACCCGAGGGATCGTGGATACACAATGTCTGTGTTAAATATCTAAAGGTGGAGTTGGTGTTTCACACAGCAAAAGTCGATGATCCACCATCTAAACCTACTGACTGAGACCAAGCAATGGCTTACCATTGTCCTCAAAGTATGCTAGCCGTCAGTCTGTTTCAGCCTACATATTTATTGTATTAAAATATGGCTATTGGGGGCTGGAGAGATGGCTCAGTGGTTAAGAGCACTGTCTGTTCTTCCAAAGGTCCCGAGTTCAATTCCCAGCAACCGCATGGTGGTTCACAACCATCTGTAATGGGGTCTAGTGCCCTCTTCTGGCCTGCAGGCATACATGCAGACAGAATACTGAAAATACTGTATACATAATAAATAAATAAATAAATCTTTAAAAAAAATAAAATATGGCTATCGACACTGATGTCTGGCATCTCTAGAGTTCCTGCTGAAGAGCTATTGGAACTCAGGGACCCTTTTTATAATGTCTAATAAATTCAGTCCTATGCCTGCCTCATTTTCAAAAATACATTTAGTCTACTACCTCTCCACCCTCCTGGTGGATGCCTGTCCTTCCTTCTAAGAACATTCATGGTGCGTCCCGTCTATACGGATCACCTGTGCCTTGAGCACACACTGACTTGGGTGTCTGTCTTCTTTTAGAAATCTATGTTCAGTCAGCACCCACTTCCATCGCATTTGCTCAGTCACCACTTTTCTTGCCAATGCTACCCTGTATAGGACCCTTTAAGGTAGAAATCCTGATTTACTATATCATGATTGGCTTCACTAGGGGTCGGGAACTCGCAAGTACCTTTGTCTCTTAAAATAGCACCTTATAATTTGCAGAAAATAACTTGAGATTGAGTTATGTTCTGATCCAGTTTAGAAATGTCAGGGAAAATATGAAAATCTGCCAGAAGGGATTCCTGCATTTCAAGTGGTCTGTCTTGATTTTCCCTTTGCTGGTGGACCATGTGCTCAGGCTGTAGACTGCAGATACCACCTCATGTTATATGTGCACGAAGTGTGCACCCGCACGTGTTAGTGCACCCGCACGTGTTAGTGCACCTGCTCGTGGGCCCCCAGACGCGAGGAGATGCGATTCTGCTTAAGATATTTTAAGCAGTCCCAGAAATGACTTTCACTATTTCCTTTTTGAAATGGGTTTGCTCCTCACTGTGTTGTGCTAAAAATGAACTGAAATCTCAAGGTCCTTACAAAGGAGTCTTGGGTTTCCTAGCAACAATGAGAGCTCTCTCTGAAGAGGCATCCTTTTTCCAAGTGCTAAAGTATGAAACAGTCAAAACTGTATAAAACAAAGGACAGCCATGCTTCTTGGTCTCATGGAGTGACTCTGTAAGTTGCTAAGACTTGAGTAAGCTAAGCAATAAATTAACTCGCAAAGTACTCACAGGTTCAGAGTTTAAAAACTAAATCAAATATCAAATCTTATGATTTTATTTAAATTCATTTGCAGGGTTTAGAGAGATAAATGGCACAAAAATCCAAGCCCCAAGTCCTTGCAGAGGTCAGTTATGAGTGCTCAGAACCGGAGCATATAAACAAACAGAGCGCCGCCCATCCTGCAGGGACACTAATTGGAATGGCATCTTTCAGCCTCCTGCTTGCTTTTCTTCTCTCCGATTTCTAAATCTGGGTCTCTGAAGACTCTCTGCTGCCCAGTCTAACTGAACATCAAAGTCATGTGGCTTCAAAGAGTATTTTCTGGCCCTTGATGTCACCTCCTACTAAGCCCCCTTAGGAGATCAGAGTCTACCAAGAATGGCCTGAGTAGGGAAAGGGAAGGA